GTGAGTTTTGGTGCAAGCAATAGCAGCACAGGACGAGACACCACAGGTGATGCAAATGTGCCACTGAACATACATCACCCACAACAACAAAGCATCCACAAGCATTCCTTCTCGCCTCCCAGTTGTGCAGAGATTGTCATCGATCGATCGCATGGACCCCACACATCCCAACACATCCCACCGCTCTCCGTCATCATCAACACCACCATCACCGCTGATGAACGTACGACATGGTTGCGGTCGAAGGAAAGAAGAGGTGAGCGAGGAGAGACAAGAAACGAATAGGCAGCGGAACAAGGAAAATGTCAGCAAAACTTGCACCAGCACCACCGGTGCAGCAGAAGAAACCGTGCGTTGTGTGGTGTGGTTGCTTCGTTGCTTGCGGCCACTGAGCAGCAGCGGCGAATGTTCTTTCGGGACCAGAAAACAAGATTGGAAAACAAGTGTGGAATAACGATTGAAGATGTTCGCCAAAATTCGCGTGGAGGATTGTGAAATACATATGACTTGCGCGGAATTGTGCGGCTAGTGCGCATTGGTGGATACGATCACTTACCGCCAACACAACCAAAACATCCACAGCCAACGCATCAAAAGGTGCTGTGGCGACGCGCAGGCGTGCAGAAGAGATGCAGGCGAGAGAGAGAGTGTGTGTGGATGGATGATGGCGCATGATGGGCAAGGCAGCAGGTGGAGGAGGAGGAGGAGATGAGAGGGCAAGGCAAGCACGGGAAGAAGAGGCGTTGTGAGCGGCATGGATGGTGCATGTTTGTGTCTATGTGTGCTTGTGTTTGTTGCGTGTTCAGTGGCCAGAGCGCAGGGAGCATGTTGAATGTGTGTGTGTTTGTGTCATGTGCACGTATGGTTGCACAATGACACTGCCAGTGCTCACAAGGACTTGTGTTTGGCTTGTCACACACACACACACACACACACACACACCACACACACACACACACACACACACACACACGTTCTCGCTTCCAAGGTTCAGCCATGCTGTCACGCGTTCTCGGCCAAGGTCTCCGCCTCGGCGCTAGGGTACGTTATGTGACTGTGTGTGTGTGTGTGTGTGCATGTGCGCATGTGCGTGTGTGCAGATGCGCGCACGCTCTGTGGGACCCGCTCTGTGGGACCATAGCTGTTGCGTGGGTGTCCAGTGAACACCGTCATGTCGCCAACCCTACCTCCCGCCCCCAAACACACACTGAACTGTGGCGCTTACGCCTTTTGCACCTGGTGCGCCTGGCCTGCTTTTGTTGCTCGTCAGGGATCTCCGGCTCTCACTTCCCTCGGCGGTGCACGGCGTCTCCTCAACATCCACGAAGGTGCGTGCTGTGCGCGTGGCTCTGTTTGTGTGTGTGTGCGGCTGTGGCTGTGTGTGTGTGTGTGTGTGTGGCTCTCTCTCTCTCTCGCTCTCTCTGTGTGTACACCTGCGTGGCGTCTTGTGTTGGATCCTGCATAGATTACCTTGCGCGAGTGTGATCTCACCGCGCTGTGTGTGGTTGTTGCTCGCCCAAACCACTCTCACACGCAATGCATTGGTTTGACCTCTTGCACAGCGGATAGCCAGGAGCTGATGAAGTCCTATGGGCTCAACGTCGCCCGTGGCGCAAAGGCCAAGTCCCCAGAGGAGGCCGTCACTGCTGCCAAGTCCATGAGTACGTTTGCAGCTTCGTGTGTGCATACATGTGCGTGCGTCCGTGTATATGCGCGAGCGTGTGCAGCGTTTCGATCCTTGTACACGCTACGCGCATTCCTTTTCGCTGCGGGCACGTCAATCGTCCAGCTCCCATCCAGCCAGACGCGTCCTCTTGCATCCGCACACCCACACGAACACACACACACACGCACACACACACACACACACACACACACACACACACAAACATCCGCACGACCACCCACACATATGCACACATGCCGACATACTCACACTCGCAAACACAATACAATGGCTGCAGGCACGTCGAAGGTCGTGCTCAAGGCGCAGGTGCTTGCTGGTGGACGTGGCAAGGGTGTCTTTGACAACGGCTTTTCTGGCGGCGTCCACGTCCTCGACAACGAGTGCGTGTGAACCGAGACAACACGTTTGGGGGACAAGCAAGATAAGGAGGGCGTGTGATATCTGTACTGCATGGAACGTGTGTCGTACCTGTGGTGTGTGTGTGGTGTGGTGTGGTGTGGTGTGTGGTGTGGTGTGGTGTGAGCGATGTCTCCGGGGGTTGTGAAGCTGCCCATGCTCGAGTGGCTGGTTCAGTGCGTGCGTGTGTGTGTTGTTTGCTGAACCAACGCGCTCATACCCCATGTCTCGCGTATTCGTGTTCTCCATCTGTGTCGATCGCCGTGCTCGTGCACCACTGCAGCGAGTCAAAGGTGCGCGAGATTGCCTCGCAGATGATTGGGCACAACCTCATCACCAAGCAGACTGGCAAGGAGGGCCGTCCGTGCAACATGGTGCGTCATTTACCGCATCTGTTTGAATGTATCGCGGCAGAGCTTGCTCCTGGCTGCGTGATTGCTGCGGGCGTTTCAGCTGTGCAGCCACTCACCCTGCACCTGTCGTTGTTTCTCTGCTGGCGTGTGTGCGATTGTGTGTGCGTGTGTGCGTGCGTTTGTGCGTTTTTGTGCGTTCGTGCATACGTTTGTGCGTTTGTGCGCCTTCTTACCTGCCTCCCCCCTGCCTCCTCCCCATCCCCATCCCCATCCCCCTCTCTGTCTCTGTGCTTGTGATTTTATCGGTACAGATCCAAGTTGTGGAGGCTGTGAATGTGCAGAAGGAGTTCTACCTTGCTCTTCTCCTTGACCGCGCCGCCATGGTAAGGATTCAAGCACCCTGCCCAGCTGCTGCTCCATGTTGCCCGCACAAGCTGCTGCTCCATGCTGCAAACTCCAGACACAATACAACACACCATAACACAGCAGAACACAACACCACACAAACACCACACAAACACACCACAACACAAAAAACTCATGCACACGATGTTGCCCTCACACGTTCCGCTGCGCCACTGCCGTTAGGGCCCTGTGATGATTGGCAGCTCCCAAGGTGGCATGGACATTGAGGTCAGACACACAGCCCACATGATACCACCGACATACCATGTCTCTATCCACCACCTGCATGTTTTTGAAACGCCCATGTCTGGTTTTTTGTTTGTCCGCCTTTGTTGCCCCTCCTCCGCTCTTCAACCTCTTCGATCTGTTCATGTGTGTGTGTGTGTGTGCAATGTGTGCGTGCTTGTCCTGTTAACCCCTCGCGCGTCAACAGGCCGTTGCCGCTGAGAACCCCGATGCCATTGTCAAGCTCCCCATCGACATTGACGGAGGTGTGTGTGTGTGTGTTTGTACGCGCGTTTGTTTGCGGTGATCGTTTGTGTGCTCTGTGCTGTGTGTGTGTGTTGTGTTGTGTGTGTGTGGCATCTGGTTGTGGCTTGTTTCACAACCGTGTACCGTCACCACAGCATGTTCTGGTTTGCGTTCTTTTCCCCTGTGCTTGTGCTGGACGCTGCGTGCTCCCCACTCCTCTGGTACCGGTGCCCCCCACCATCTCATCTCGCCTCCGCTCACAACAATTATGTGCCTGCATGCTTGCTTCCCTCGTCCCACCAGGCCTGAGCATGGAGGCCGCCACGAACTTTGCGCGTCAAATGGGCATCCCGGACAGTTGCGTCGACAGCGCCGCCGACCAGATGGTCAAGCTCTACCAGCTCTTCCTCGAGGTGGGCGGGCGTGCTGGCTTGCGATTTCCCTCACTTCCTTGCACGTGTGCCTGCATCTCATGTATTCGTGTTTGGTTTTGCGTGTTTGATTGTGCTGTTGAGGTTGCATCTGTGTGTGTATGTGCTGCGAGTTTGCGCGCTTGTTACGTGTTGGTGAGCGCCTGTGTAGTACCTCAACAATCCATTTTCTCTCACACACTCTCTCTACGCTGGTGCTGCTGCTGCCTATTGTGTGTGTGATTGCAGCGCGACTGCTCCCTTGTTGAGATCAACCCCTTTGCGCAGGTCGGCCCCAGCGAGGTGATGTGCCTCGATGCCAAACTCAACTTTGACGACAATGCTGAGTTCAGGCAGTCGGGCGTCTTTGAGAAGCGCGACACCACCCAGGTTTGTTAGCGTGTCATGTAGGGGGGGGGGGGCGAGTGTGTGCGTGTGTGCGCCAGATGTTGCGCCCCCCACCACACACAGAAAGCAAATGCATATTCGCACACGCGTGTACATATTCCCTCCTGCTGACTCACCCAACTCCTACCCACCCCCCCCCCCCCCCCCCCTGCCAAAACACACGTGTCTTTCCAACACACTTCAACGCCACCGCGAACGTGCAGGAGAACAAGGCTGATGTTGAAGCTGCCAAGTTTGACCTCAACTACATCCAGCTGGACGGCAATATTGGCTGCCTCGTCAACGGCGCCGGTCTTGCCATGGCAACCATGGACATCATTCAGGTGGGCGTGGCACTCGCATGCCTTGGATGAGTCAGGGCAATGGGGGCGGGCTTGGTTTGCCACCATGCGGTGGAAGACAGACACTGTTTGTGACGTGACGTGATGTCGTTGTCATCATTGCCATCTCATTTTCCACGCTCTCATCTCACTCGATTATCACGCACACGCACAATCTGCTTCTTCTTGCCTGCGTGTCTGCCCACACTGCCTTGTACGTGTCTGTTGTGTTGGTCACATGCAGCTGCATGGTGGCAGCCCGGCCAACTTTCTTGATGTCGGCGGCGGCGCCACTGCCCGCCAGGTCACAGAGGCCTTCAAGCTCATCACACAGGACCCCAACGTATGCCCCTCTCCCTCCGTGTTGTGTTTATGTTGTATTATGTTGTGGTTCTTGTGAGGCTGAGACTCGCACTCTTTTGTTTCGGTTATTCGACTCATCTCCGCTCTCAGCCACTTGCTCACCACAAGCACAAACAAGCACAATACCAACGACGGCCACAACAACGCTGATTCCGGCTTTTCCTTACGCGTGTGCGCCTGCGTCGCCTCGTCTGTGTGCAGGTGTCTGCGATCCTTGTGAACATCTTTGGTGGCATTATGCGCTGCGACGTGATTGCCGAGGGTATCATCCACGCCGCATCAGACCTCGACCTCTCCGTCCCCATCATCGTCCGCCTCCAGGGTACGTCCTGCAGTCGTCTGTCGCGCCCAGCTCTGTGTTATTTTTGTGTTGCATGTGTGCGAGTGTGTGTGTGCGTGTGCGAGTGTGTGTGTGCGTGTGCGAGTGTGTGTGTGTGTGTGCGAGTGTGTGTGCGTGTGCGAGTGCGCGTGTGTGTGCGTGTGCGAGTGCGCGTGTGTGCGTGTGCAGGTTTTTGAGCTGATTGTGTGTAGACTTTTGGCGTTTTTTTGGTCGACACTGCATGTGGGCAATTGCTGCATTCCACAGAAAGCGTCTTGTTGTCATTTCTCTGCATCGCACGTTTTGCCTCTTCCTGCTCTCTGCTCTCTTCTTCCTTCCATTACCCGTCTCATTGCAAATGTGTCCTTCCGTGCACTCCGCGTCCTCGTGCATGCCTGATCCAGGCACGAACCGGGAGGAGGCCAAGGAGATGATTGCCAACAGCGGGCTGGACATCATCTCGTCGGATGAACTTGACGACGCCGCGTTCCGCGCTGTGCAGCTGTCCAAGATTGTTGAGCTGGCGCGCCAGGCGCACGTGCACGTGACGTTCAGGGAGGCTGAGCGCCCCCACCACGACGACGACGTCATGACCCCTTACTTCACCTAAGCGATGATCACCGCAACGTCCCACCTCATCCACCCTCTTTCTCGGCCCAGGCACAACAACTTGCACACACACACACACACAAAAGCATGCACACATGCACACATATGCACACACACACACACACAAGCATGCACACATATGCACACATGCACACATGCACACATATGCACACACACCGCCCTTGGTTCTTCTTCTCCTCGCTGCTGACACACGGCGTGCGCGCGTGCGCGCGTGTGCTTTGGTGCTGCCCTGTGCTGCTGCTGCTGTTGTTGTTGTTGCCTTTCCCTTGTGCTGGGATTTTGTCCTTCCTTCCTTCCATGGTTCGTCTTGGGTGTGTCTTCCCTTTTTGTGCTTAGGCAACTGTTGCTTGGTGTCTGTGTGTTTGTTCTGGCTCGCTGTGGAGGCAACAAAGGTGGTGGTTGTTGTAGCGCCCTTGTACTGACTGTTTGCTTGTGGGTTTGCTGTGTGCGCGATTGTGTTTTGAGGTGTGTTACTCGTGGACAGTGTGAACGCACGCACACCCGCGCGTATGTGTGCGTGATTGATTGTTTGCCGTGTGTGTTTGGCTTGCGTGTACTGGACCTTCCTTCGCCTCTCTTCTCTTCCTGTTCCCTGTTCGATTGATTGATTGACTGCTTCTGCTCGCTCGCTCGCTTGTCTCTGTGTGTTTGTTTGTTTGGTGTATTGCTGGTGATATGGCTGTCTCCGAGACCTCATCACAATAGACAACAAAAGGCTTGAGATGGAGGCACTGTTGTGAACAGCTGTGCAAGGTGAGCGAAGAGCGCTGGATACGTGATGGTGGCGATGACGGGGGGGGGGGAGTGGGGACCTTGCAGTGATGCACTCGCACTGCGAGCAAGAGAGCAATCAGCTACGGCATACCCCAACATTGTTGTAACGCGTGTGGTTCTTGGCACCCCACGTGCAAGTGACTTGCTTTGGCTGTGGTGTGCATTCAGGTAACAACAGTTGTCAAGTGCTACGCCTGATCTGGTTGCTCTTGAACACCAATCATATGGCCGTCCGGCGTCTTGAATGCAGCAATCTGTGTGTGTGTGTGTGTATGTGGAGGGGGGGGGGGGGGAAGGGAAGCAGAGAGGGAGTCAATTCAGGTGGACAAGCTTTTCATTCAGAAATGTACGACACGCAACAGGAGGCGAGAGACAGAGAGATTCACAAGCGCAGAAGCGCACGACGGGGCAGACAGGTAGACAGACAAAACAAACAGGCAGACAGACACAGAGAGAGACAGACACAGAGAGAGACAGACACAGAGAGAGATAGACAGACAGCCAGACGCACACACACACACACACACACGCACACACACACACACACACACACACACACACACACACACACGCACGCACACACACACACAGACACAGACACAGACAGACACACACACACACACACAGACAGACACACACACACATACATCGAACAAACAAAGCGCTCCTTACCCGTCCAGTGGGCGGAAACTTGATGGCCCCGTCCATATGAGCGCCTTGTTGTATTAACTTTCCAATCACATCATCAAAGTCCGTCACCTGGAAGTTAAGGAAGGGAGAGTAGCCCGTGCTCAGCGGAGCCTCAGCACTGTGTTGTTGGTGGTTGTAATCAAAACACAGGGGATGCAGCAAGAGAAAAAAAGGGGAGGGGGGGGGTGCGCAAAGACAAAGAGGAGGCCACAGTTAGAAGAAAGAATGAAAGAAAGGGGCACGGGTAGAGATGGAGACAGATTACAGGTGGAGGTAGACACAGATACAGACACACAAAGACATAGACAAACACACACACACACACACACACACACACGCTCACTCACTCACTCACCAACACACACACACACACACACACTCACACACACACACACACACACACACACACACACACACACACACACACACACACACACACACACACACACACACACACACACACACACACACACACACACACACACACACACACACACGCACACACACACAACATACCCTTGTTCGACTCGTTGCAGAAGGAGGGATGTGGAGCCTCCCACGTCCACCTCTGCCACGTCCTCAGACACATGCACGGCCGGCAGCCCAAGCGCTTCCGTGTACACCCGCACAGACGACTGCACACACCGCACAAGCAGCAGCACAGATGCCAGTCGTGGCGATGTCATCATTACGTTCGGAGCATTACATGAAAATATCCACTAACATTCGGCATTCTCACCTCACCATCAAGGCACACGTCGCGATCGCGACGTGGAAGAGTCCACCACGACCACAAAGAGAGAAGGAAGCACACACACACACACACACACACACACATCAAACATAAGCACCGCACTGCAAGCACTGCACGCAAGCACTCTGCATGCAACTCAAGGCAACGCCCACAACAGCAGCAGACAGAGACAAATAGATGGAAGCGGAGGGTTCACTCGATCGCTCGATTTCAGGCTGAACCGTTTGACTGCCGGATCCCACAACCGCTCTCTCGCACGCACGCAGGCAGGGCCCCTTGCGAGCACCAGCCGACCGGAAGGACTGGAGCGATCTGAGCGATGGCTCGTGCCTTTTGTGCCACCGCACTCACCGCAGTGTTTCTGTTACTTCTCAGCACGCTGTCAGTAGCACAGCAGGGGACCAATACGCAGGATGAGCAAAGCGATCTGCACAATTTGCCAATCGCCACCTGTCCCATGAACACAACAACTGCTCTCAATCGCTCATGCGTCACAGGGGGCTCCGACATCGTCTGTTCGCTCGATGGCACAGAATATCGTAAGTCCTTGCTCACAAAGCACATCCACCTGCGTGTGTGTGTCCTCTTCCTTTCATGTTTCTCCACCCTTCCCCTTTAACACGTCGCGGGTCTCGAGGTCATCACATCACTTCACTATCGGGTGTCACTGCTGGCGCTCTCCCACACTTTACGTTCAAGTTCAGCTGCTTCCTTCAACCTTCTCTTGTCTTTCTCTTTGTTTACCGTTAACCACGCACTCAATCATGTCTGGTGAATTCATTCCGCAGGCAATGCTGCGTGCGCTGTCTGCCATGGTGTCGTGGGCATTGTGCCTGGCAAGTGCCCAGAGGTCGTTGCCACCTGCACCAGCGTCGCCGATATGCAGGCCGTGCGAGCGTGTGTCGAGGGCACACAGGACCTGGTCTGTGGCACGTCCATGATCACGTACCGAAACATCCATTGCTTGGACTGCAGCGGAGATGCGTACCTGCGCACCGGCGTCTGCGCAAACCCAGCCCCTCCCATCGTGGACACGTGCTCTTCAAATACCACCTGTGGCCTCAGCTTCCTGGACGCGTGCCAGACCCAGGACGCTTCCTACGTGTGCCATAACGGCACCACGTACAAGAATGCCGCGTGCGCCATGTGCAACGACGTCCCTCGCTCCGCGGCCGGCACAGGCCGCTGCTACTCGCCACCAGCGCAACCGTCGCCCTTCTTCGAGGACTGCCCCGAGTCCGCGCCGCCAGCGCTCAAATCCGCCTGCAGCGCATCAAGCGTTGACCCCGTTTGCGGCTGGGACGGCGTCACGTATCGATCGCACGCGTGTGCGGTCTGCAACAACGTCCGCGCCCCCACCGCTGGCACGTGCGTGAGCTCAAACGTGTCTGACGTGCATTGTCGCGATGGAGACTGCGGTGTCAACGCCCACTGTGTCCGAGATGTTGTTGACTGCGACTTTGAGACGCCGTGTGCGTGGGGCAGCGTACATGATCTTGGCAGCAGCAGCAGCGTCGCGGGTGATGGTACCAGTGATACAGAGTCTGCCGTTTCGTTTCATGTTGTTGATGTGTCTGCCTCCAACAACATTGACGGCGTGCCATCCGTTGACCACACGTACATGAACCGCACGCGTGGCCACTACATTGTTGCCAGTGCACACACACGCGCGCGTCTGCAGTCGCTGCTCTTCTCCACACGTGACCCGGTCACCCACCATGCGTGCCATGTTGCGTTTGCATATGCGTTCAGCGGTGTCGGCGCACATCTCGACGTGTTTGCTGCCACCGCTAGTGAGCTTGCATCCCCAACACTCGTCCTGTCTCTCAGCAGCAGCAGCAGCAGCAACAACAACAACAACAACAGCAGCAGCACCAGCCCCAACGACAACAGCACAGCCACAGCCGCACAGGTGTGGTCGACAGCCCACGTCCCAGCAGAGGCGCTGGTGGGCGTTGGCGAGGAGGTAGTGGTCCGGTTCGCCTTGAGCTATGATGAAGGCGGTGCTGGTGGCAGCAACAGCAGCAGTGTAGCCAGCGGCGTGTATGTTGCGCTGGATGATATTGCGCTCGTGTGTGACGGCGTGCAGGAGCACGTGTGCCGGTGTGATGACGGCTTCCACAATTCCGCAGCAGGAATGGACAGTGATGTTCTTGACTGTAGACCCATTGAAGGTGACACCAACACCACCACTGCCACCGCCACCGCTGAAAGCAATGTGAGTGTGAGTGTGAGTGTGAGTGTGAGTGTGAGTGTGAGTGTGAGTGTGAGTGTGAGTGTGAGTGTGAGTGTGAGTGTGAGTGTGAGTGTGAGTGTGGGTGCGAGTGTTAGTGTGAGTGTGAGTGTGAATGTGAGTGCGATGGTGCGCCCTGCCTCTGTGTTCAACCGGGTCTGCATATTTGTTTCCTTTCGGTAAGCGAGGAAATGTGTTCACCACCACCACCACCACCACCGTCATCACCGCCATCTCCATCATCACGATGATCAATCCACGTCAGGCCGTGTCCGTGTGTCGCGCTGGCGCCACATGCGAGGAAGTGCTGGAATGCGAACAAGGGGCACCCGATCTCGTTTGTGCAGCAGGCACCCACTTCAAGGTTCGTCTTTCGCGCCAGCAGTTGTGATGACGAACGATGCATGTGCTTGTTTGTGCGTGTGCATGCGTGTGTGCATGTGTGGGTGTGTGCGTGCGTATGTTTGTGTGTGTGCGTGCGTATGTGCGTGCGCGTGCGTATGTATGAGCGTTGAGGGTTCCGTTCATCAAGGTTTACACGTCCATCTTCCTTCGTCATCCAAACACACGCGCGCACATCTACTTATCGGCCGCTGGTAGAATCGGGCGTGTGCCAAGTGCAACTACGAGATGCCCTCTGCCGTGTACAGCGGTGTCTGTCGCGCTGTACCTGATGACGGTGCCTTCATCGACGCGTGCCCGGCAACTGCTGTTGAGTTGTTTCAAAGGTGCGTTTCATCGCCTGCAGGTTGCTTGCAAGCAAATTGCTACGTTGGTGCGTGTGTGTATGTGTGTGTATGTGTATGTGTGTATGTGTATGTGTGTATGTGTGTGTATGTGTGTGTATGTGTATGTGTGTATGTGTGTATGTGTGTGTATGCGTGTGTATGTATGCGTGTGTATGTATGTGTGTATGTGTGTGTATGCGTGTGTATGTATGCGTGTGTATGTATGCGTGTGCGTGTATGCGTGTGTATGTGTGTATGTACGTGTGTGCGCAGCAATACTACTTCTTCGCACATTGCCGTTAACAGTATGTCCACGCTTTGCATACCTCATTCTCACCGCTTCCCAATACTTTCGTCCTTCAGCGCGTGCGAGAACCAGCCTGTTGACGTTGTCTGCTCAGACGGACGCAACTACAAGAACACCGGTGAGACACAGTGTATGTATGTGTGTGTGTGTATGTATGTGTGTGTGTGTATGTATGTGTGTGTGTGTGTGTGTGTGTGTGTGTGTGTGTGTGTGTGTGTGTGTGTGTGTGTGTGTGTGTGTGTGTGGACGTCCGCATTTGCGTGTTTGTGCATGCACGTGTACATCTTGAATTTCGATCACAACACATCATACAGCATGCACTGACACGCCCCACCATCGACCTCGCGTGCCATTGCACTTTCATCCCCCGACACACCACCTGCTTTGGCTCGCCCACCACAGCCTGTGCGCAATGCAACGGCTTTGTTTCCTTCGCCACATCATCGGCGGTCAGCAGCGTTCCTTCTGTGTTCTTTGGGCCGTGCTCCACCGTCATTAGTGCGCGTACGCGTGATATCGTCACCACTTGTCCCGACACAGCCAGGTGAGGGGGAAGGGGACGTGTAGATGTGTGGACTTTGGAGTGTGGGCGTGGATGTGCGGGCGCATGCAGAAGTGTATGTGTGCATGTACGTTGATATGACTGTGTGGTTGAAATTGGCCGCTCTCTGCTGTGCCCTAAGTTAGTAGACACTCTGCGTACGTGCGTGTGCGTGTGTGTGTGTCAACATGCCCCTCCACGCTGTGCAATGGGGTAGCTGACACTCTGTGACCACCACAACCATTACTATCATCACCACGTTGCACCTGACGTGCTCGTTCCCCAAACAGTGCCGCTGAAGTTTCAAGCTGCAGCAGCGGTGCAACGTTCGTCATCTGCGGCTCCGACGGCAACCAGTACAGGGTACGCAGCCATGCAAAGCTACTCACGCAATGCAGCTTTGTGGTGGATATGGGTTTATGTATGTGTGTGTATGCATGTGTGTGTATGTATGTGTGTGTATGCATGTGTGTGTGTATGTATGTGTGTGTATGCATGTGTGTGTATGCGTGTGTATGTGTGTGTATGTGTGTATGTGGGGGGGGGGGCACGTTTGATCTTTCGCTTGTGTGCCGTCAGCGCTCATGAGCACGAAACCTTGCACCCCCCCCCTCCTCACAACCATCACGACGACGACGACGACGACGATCACCACCACCACCACCAATGTTGTCGCCACCAACACCCGCCACCACCATGACAGAACCTTGCGTGCATGCGATGCAATTCTGCTTCCTTCTCTGGGCTTGGACTGTGTGGCGCTCATGCTCAAGTGGAGGTGAGCACAATGCACGTGCCATGTCTGCGTATGAATTGTCTCTGTGTCTGTGTGGGGTCGTTAATGTGTGTTGTGTGTACTTGAGAATGGTCGGTTGTGCTGCGTTGCTTCACCCCTTTATGCAGATGTTCTCACTGTCAGTGCTCTCGATGTGCGTGTGTGCGTGTGTGCGTGTGTGCGTGTGTGCGTGTGTGCGTGTGTGCGTGTGTGCGTGTGTGCGTGTGTGCGTGTGTGCGTGTACGTGCGTGTGTGCGCGCGTGTATGTTTTCCTGTGTGCGCGCGTGAAACCAGGACGGGCGAGCCGTCATCTCGACGTGCCCTGCATCCTCCAACCCGTTCTTCGCCACGCTGTGCAATACGCGCGAGCCGCGTATCGTCTGCGCAAACGGCTTCAACTTCAAGTACGTGCATGCTCTTACGACGCGGCATTCATACCCATTTGCCGGCGAACGTGTTGTGTGGGAGTCAGCTCTTCCATGTCTTGTGTGCACACTGTGCACAGCAGCTATCACGTTGCTGTTGTTGTTCAGATTGGCGTACTAACTGTTGTTGTTTCTCCCTTGTGTTTTGTATGTGTATGTGTGTATGTGTGTGTGCGTGTGTGTGCGTGTGTGTGTGTGTGTGCGTGCTCTGTAACTGCGATGGTTGACAGGAACACGTTTTGTGCGCGATGCAACGGTTATTCGAGTGAAGTAACCACTTCCCCATGTGAGTGACCCCAGTGCAAATGCGTGAAGGAGAGGGGGGGGGGAGACGAGAGGTGAGAAAAGGGGAGTGTGCTTTTTCCAGGTCAAGCGCGAGCACGCTCCTAGATGTGCAGACACGCACATCCACACATACATGCACCTTTGTGCGTGCACCTCGTTCACCTATGTCCCACTCACATGACGGTTACACGCACTCACAATCCTCTCTTCACACACACACACACACACACAACAATGTGCTCGAATTGCATTGCACATGGCAACAGGTCTTACACTGCAGTATCCAGTGGTGGAGACGTGCAGCGGCAGCAGCAGCAGCACCACCACCACCACCACGTCTGAGGATCAGTGTCATGACTTCACACCCGACCCCGTTTGTGGCAGTGACGGCAACTCATACATCAACAGGTGCGCGCGTTTGTGGAGTGTGTGCGTGTGCGTGCATGCGTGTATTTGCGCGAGGTGTCATTTGTGCGTATGTGCGTGTGTGTGTGTCAGATGTGCAATCTTCATTGCTTGCTTTCATTCACACCTGCACACGCACACGTCGTCACATCGGCTGTTGCAGACCCTGTGCCGCGTGCAACGGGCTCAATCCAAATGTTGATGTTGTGGACGGCGCATGCTACGGCCAAGAGATGGTGTACGAGCCTTGTGCAAACGTCACATGCGACATCAACGCGTCCTGCGCCAAGACATGTCAGTTGCCGCATGTTTCTTGAATCTGAGCATGTGGCGCTGCACATGTGTTGGGCATGCGAGAGATGACACCACGCTACGTTTACCACTCGTTGAACGGCAAAAGTTCATACACTCATTCACACACAAACACACACGCACTCTCTTTCATTCACACATTCACACACATTCACACATTCACACACATTCACACATTCACACACATTCACACTCACACAGTGCTGGACTGTGACTTTGAGACGGACATGTGTGGATGGCGCAACAGCAAAGGGGACGATTTGCAGTTTCAGCGCCACAGCGGGTCCACGTCAACGGCACAAACCGGACCAACGGTCGACCACACGCTCAACACGACCGAGGGTGTGTATGTGTTCATGGATGCGAGTGATGGTGCGAGCGGACACGAGGCGCACCTGCTGTCTCCGCTGCTTACAGCGCTGCAATTCGGCCACAGCTGCGTGCTGGAGTTTTACTACCACATGTGGGGCGCAGACGTGCACTCGCTCTCTGTCGAGGTAATTCGCAAGCAGGAGGACAACACGTGGAAGGAGCTGTGGCGTGTGGACGCAGGGAACACCCCGAGAGCCGAGCACCGCAACACTTGGCGTGCTGCACACGTCGACCTGTACGCGCTGCGCGATGTCGGTGTGGTGCAGCTTCGCTTCGTTGCTCGGCGTGGCGATGGTCCACAGGGGGACGTGGCCCTTGACGATGTGCGGATGGTCTGTGGAGACGAGAGCAGCGGCACGTGCGTTTGCAACCCTGGCTGGATTGGTGATGGCCATACGTGCGTGCGCGATCCTGATGAGGTTGTGCCCACCACAGCACCTCCACCCAGTAACAGCAGCAGCACCAACAGCACACCAGCCACTCTGTCCCCGTCGACCACTACCCAAGCTGCAACGGACACCACGTTTGCGACCACCACCAGCGCCATCGTGGAGAATGTTGTTGAGTCGTGCAACCTGCCGGGTGGTATCATTGACCCGTGCGAGTACACCGCGGAGAGCTTCGTGTGCGGAGATGATGACGTGACATACAAGAACGCCGTGTGCGCGCTGTGCAACGGCATGACGCAAGTCGTGTCAGGGCCCTGCACCAAGAGCGGCGATGCTGCGACCGTACACACATGCACAGACCTGCAGAGCCCCTTGTTTCTGCAGTGCAACTTCCAGTCTGAGGAGCTGGTGTGCGCAGACGGGAGCTTGTACCGCAACAGGCCGTGTGCGCTGTGTGCCGGATACGCTGAGGACAAGATTGAGGATGGGCCGTGCGACGGCAGCATCTTTGACCCGTGCAGTGCTGTTCAGTGTGTGGACAACGCAGTGTGCACGCACACGGCTGCTGACTGCGACTTTGAGGATGCTGCCATGCCCCTCTGTGGATGGACCATTGACAGCGACGACGGTGATGGTGGTAATAGTGGCGGTGATGGTGGTGGTGATGATGGTGGTGGTGGTGGTGCCAGTGGACGCTTCTCGTGGGTGCGGTGGAGTGGACCAACGCCGTCGAGCCAGACCGGTCCCAGCGTCGACCACACACTCGGCAACGCCACGGGCCACTACATGTATGCTGAGGCGACGGGAGGCTCGCAGGGGTCACGCACGTTCATGCAGTCACCCGTGTTTGCGCCCTCGTCGCTTGGGTCTGGATGCTTCCTGGAGTTTTGGTTCCACATGTTCGGGCAACACGTGGAGCCGCTCACGGTGCAGGTGCGGGAGATACGCAATGCGACGGCATGGGAAGATGTGTGGCGCATATACCCGCCAGCCAATACCGCGGATGCCGAACACGATGTGTGGAGACGCCACGCCACCATCAGCTTGGCAGCATACACCGGGCCCATCCAGGTGTGTGTGTGTGTATGAACATGTATGTGTGTGTGTGCGTGCGTGGAAGTTGGCAGTGCCGTTTGCGTTTACGGTGTTTGTTGGTGTCACTTTTCAGCTCTCACATACTTTGACAACTAACCCACACACCCCCAACACACACACACACACACACACACACACACACACACACACACACACACACACACACACACACACACACACACACAACACACCACGTCCTACGTACAACACATTACAGGTGCGCATTGTTGCTGAACGCGGGAGCGGAATTGAGGGCGACGTGGGCATCGACGACATTCGCGTGCTGTGCTCGGCGGAGACCGTTGGCCAGTGCGTGTGCAAGGAAGGTTACGCCATGTCGAGTGATGGCACAGCGTGCGTGCCCAACATTCTTGCGTATCTGTTGTCACGCCCCGACACGCAGCTTGCACTGCAGCTCATCAAGGCATCTGGATTGGGCGATTTCGTCGCATCTGCACAAGGCCTGACGCTGTTTGCTCCGTCCGACGCCGCCGTTCTCAGCGCATCTGTCAACCCAGATGTTGACCTGACCGACAGGGACACCTTGCGTTCGTTTGTGCTGCACCACCTCGTCGGCGCGCCGCTGTTGCCCCGACAGCTGGTGAGCGGACAGCGCCTCAACACGCTCTTCGTCACAGACGCCGGATTCCCACAGACGCTGTTGGTGCAGCGGCAGAATTCGCAGCTCACAGTCAACGGCGCAACCGTCACCACGCCGAACCTCCATGCCTCGTACGTTTGCTGCAGGTGTAATTGGGCGTGTGTGTGAGTGAGTAAGTGAGTGAGTGAGTAAGTGAGTAAGTGAGTGAGTGAGTGAGTGAGTGAGTGAGTGAGTGAGTGAGTGAGTGAGTGAGTGAGTGAGTGAGTGAGTGAGTTAGTGAATGAGTGAGTGAGTGTGTGAGTGAGTGAGTGAGTGAGTGAGTGAGTGAGTCAATGTGAGTGCGTGAGTGCGTGAGTGGGTGAGTGAGTGAGTGAGTGAGTGAGTGAGTGTATATGTGTGTGAATGGGCAACACGATGTGCGCACGCACGCGTGAATTACAGGTGTGTGACTGCAAGGATGCTCTGCTAACAAACGGTACATGCACCCGCTTCCACTGCCTGCGTGTGTGCACACGAACTAGGAACGGGGTGATCCACATTGTGGACGACATCATCGCGTTTGATGAGGATCTGTGTGGCGGAACAGAGTGCACGGATACGCAGGAGTGTACGCTTGCCTACAGCAGCAACTTCACTCGCTCCGACAGCTGCGACTGCCCGAGTGCCTTTTCATCGGTGTGCGCCATCAGCCCCAGTGGACCGCAGCTGTTCTTCAGTCCATGTGTTGCAGAATGCCTGGATGCACCCATTGTTGGCACTGGAACCTGTGGTGCACCCCAGTGTCAGGATTTGGAGTCGTGCGACGGCGTGTTGTGTGATTTGCACGCAACTTGTACACCAACAGGGTATGTGTGAAGTGTGCCTTCTTGCGTTCAAGCAGAAGTGGAAGATGGTGTCCTTGTTTCAGTGTGAGCGTATGAGCCCATACATTTGTTGCTCAGGTTCTGTTGCCCCTGATGCAAGCGCCCCCATTCTCGTGCCGTTGCTCCCCAACACACACGCACACACATACGTTGAATACACTTGATGCATTGAATAATATGCACGCAGGT